GAGCTCTTCAGAAGCTCAGCTGGGTGGTAAGTATGGACTTAACGCCAAACGGACTGACAACGGCGAGCGTCTGCTGCAACTGTGTGCGGAGCACCTGTTGTTTCTTAGTAGCACTGCTTTTAGACACAATGGGCGCTGAAGTGCCACTTGGCGTCCACCTGTAGCTGGTCAGCGATGGACCCAAATTGACCACATAGCCATAAGTTACAGGTGGCGCGGTTCCATTCTGGATTGCCGCTCGTACTGGAGTACCTGTGTCGACTCTGACCATGCCTTGGTGCGCTGTCGTTTCTCCATGAACTTTACCAGACGACGCACAAAGCGTCTCCCCCGATTGGCAACGGAGAAATTGTCCCAGCCCTCTGTCTGGCAAGCCTATCAAGAAGCACTGCATAGCGAACTCTCACTGTCTTGTCCTAATGACACTGAACTTCAGTGGAATAGGATCTCGGCCACTATGCACGACGCAGGAGCATCTGCTTGTGGCACTATCAGTCGTCATCGCACCAGTCACTGGATATCCGAGAGGTCGGTGAACCTGTTGGAGGCAAGAAGGCACCTCCCGGCTGGTTCTGAACACAATGTGACCAGACGGGCTATTAGGCGTGAACTAAAGCGGAGCCTACGTGCTGACAAGGAAGCCTGGTGGACTAGTCGGGCTCAAGAAATGGAGGAGGCAGGAGCAGTAGGCAATTACCGCAAGCTCTTCCAGCTAATACGCACCACTGGTCCGAGAAAACAAGGCGTCAGTGAGATAATCATGGACAGCGCGGGTACAGTGATACACAGTAAGGAGCGCCGTATGGCTCGTTGGGCTGAGCACTTTGAACATCAGTTCAACTGCCTCATGCTCCCCGACCTCTTCCTACTCAGGTGATGCAGGACGAGCCATGGACGGTTAGTTTAGAGCCTCCGTCGGAGGCCGAGGTCCGAAACGCGATCACAGCCCTTAATCGTTTTCGTGCCGCTGGCCCGGATTCCCTACCACCTGCACTATTTAAGGATGGAGGTGAGGTCCTCTGCAAAGCACTGACCTCCCTATTCGAACGTATCTGGAACGAACAGTGTGCCGGCTAATTAAAGCGAATCGATTATAGTGGCAATATACAAAAAGAGCAGTCGCACAGACTGTGGGAACCACAGGGGTATTAGCCTAACGCCAGTTGTGACAAAATTACTGGCCTCCATTATCGTTCGTCGCCTCACTGCAGAACGGGAACCCCGGATTAGAGAAGAGCAGGCCGCCTTTCGCCCAGGACGTGGCCGTATAGACCATATATTTGCTTTGCGGCAGGTGCTAGAGCAGTGCCACGCATACCGCAGACCGACAATAGCTGTGTTCCTCGATTTCAAGAGTGCGTTCGATTCAGTCGATTCTGTTCGAAATACTTGCGCGGAAAGGTGTTCCCACGAAATATGTGAACATCTTTCGTGCTCTATACTCGAACACTAGAGGGCGCGTCAGGGTCTATGGTGCCCTATCGGATAGCTTTTCGACTACAAGTGGCGTTCGTCAGGGTTGCCCGATTTCCCCGTTTTTGTTCAATTTCGTCGTGGATTCTATCATGGAGTGTTCCCTTGGGGAATCTCACGATGTAGGTGTTGAAGTGCTGCTTGGTGAACGGTTACTTGATCTAGATTATGCGGACGATATCGTCTTGCTTTTCGACAATGTTGAGGCGTTACAATCAACGCTGAATAGCCTATCCAGAGTGGTCCCATTATTTGGTATGCACTTCGCACCTTCAAAGTGCAAAGTGTTGTTGCAGGACCACCAGCCACTCGATGACCCCTTGACGCTTGCTAACGAGGAATTCGATGTGGTTGATCAATTCACTTATCTTGGCAGCTGCATCAGCAATGATGGGCGCATAGAAACTGACGTCAGTTCACGCATTGCAAAGGCCAGAGATGCCTTCTTGAACCTGCCTCATCTTTGGCGACAGAAGGGAGTTTCCCTCTGTCTGAAAGGCCGTGTAAACAAGGCCACAGTGAGGGCCGTTCTGCTCTATGGTAGTGAAACTTGGCCCCTTCGGTCTGAAGATCTGAGGCGCCTTCAAGTCTTTGATCATAGTTGTTTGCGAAGCATTGCTTGTGTCGGATGGCACCAGCGTGTCCGCAACGATGATGTGCGTAGGCGAGTACTAGGTGGTGATGATCATGCTAGCTCCTTAGAACAACAGATAGCACTGAATAAGTTACGTTGGCTCGGGCACGTGCTACGCATGCCTGGTCACCGCTTACCTAGGAGGGCCTTGTTCAGTCTACCAGGTGTAGGATGGCGCAAGGCTCGAGGTGGACAGAAGTTGACTTGGCAGCGGGAAATGAAGTCAGTGACGACCAAACTGGGTGCCGTTGGTCCGTCTCGCATTCCGGGTTGGAGTCCACGTGACTCACCTTGTGCTTGGCTCGAGACTTTACAGGACATGGCTCGCAACCGACACCAGTGGCGCGTCTGCTGCCGTCTCCTAATTGGATTGTCTGTTTAAAGTGTGTTTGGTGCTGAGTTATCTGCGGGGTAATGGCTGATTATGACGCGTGGCAGTGAAAGCCGCAAGGAAGCTGTCTCGCCGATGCCGCCTTATCTTTGCACGATAGCCAGCTGTTTGTGACGGTATATTGTCTACACAAGGTGTAGGCGCCTTGACCCAGAATGTTTGCTTAGGGCATTAAGGTTTTCAGGTAGGTCCCCCTTCTCTCCCTCTTCTTATTCTTTATTTCATAGGTCCTCATGGTTGTATGGCAGCGAAGCATCAGTTCCAATGGCTGATGTACTGCTGTTGATGATGATGATGAGGGTTATAGCTTATTGAAACACATTGCCTGCAGACGTCGTGATGGTACCGACGTTGAAAGAGTTCGAGCATCGACTTGACGCTCTCGGTCTGCAGTTTAAAGTCTTCCCCTTCGTGTCTTAAACTTTTCTTCGTCTATTACGGCTTACGCTTCTTTAACTCATTTTAACTTACATCTTAATATCGCCTACGGTATTCGATTAGCTTGTCTTCTCTGTTTTCTTTTCTTTACTGACACTACTGTTTTCTTTTATTCTTCGCGTGGCCGGCACAGCGGGGACTGCTAGTGCAGGGCACGTGGGCATTGTTTGGTTGACCATGTGAATCATGTGTGTTGATTTGGCTCTCCTTTGGCACATCAAGTCACCGGTTTCCCTGTTGGATCAACGATGTTTTCGAAGGTGGAACATTCGCGGGATTTTCTTACTGTTCCGGTCCCAATTGAACTTGAACGGGGAAAAATCGGAAAAATTACCAGTAAGCGCCAAAGACGCTTTGACCAGAACCGCTTTAATCGATCCAAGATAGCTTGGATCAGAGGAAATTTGACAATAGTCAAATTCCGTTGCAAGTGTTCATTCAAACACTGTTTTCCACAATACTGTAGTTAAACAGCTTGATTAGTATGACACGCCAAAAAATCCAGTTACCGCGTAGAACTCACAGTACACTCACAGTACATCTGGTATACAAGGCGACACCACCGCCAATTGTTTTTTAAAACATTCCTCACTTGCCACTAGTAGCACAGAAAACAGTGCAAATTAAAAATGTCGGAGTTATCCGATTGGCTGTATGCAATTTATTGAAATTACCTGGAGGTGTGTACCTTTTAGTTCGCTTAATCTGCAAATTAATGTTTGAATGCACCCATATAATGATTAATGTTGGTAACCGTTGACACCAAATTGAGCGACGTTAATAAATGAGAAGGACAATCAGTTACTATCTAGAGGGTAAAAACTACGCGTTCATGTTTTCTTCATTGGACAACGAAGCAATAACTGTCGGCCTTGAGCATCTTATTGACAGTCAAAATGATTGTCGATTCATTGAAGCATACCGGTAGGATCCTTTCTGCATGGAGAAGAAGATTCTAAACGATATTCTGGAAATTCCTGTGGCGGTATTATGGTATATCGAAGGGTAATGTAGGGTGACAGGTAACAGTGAAATGTTAAGTAATGAAAGTAGTACGCCAGCTGTTTAGACACGGATAGATATACCGGTTCACGAGGCCACTCTTCTGCTCTCTACTGCTCAGTGAACTCAAGGATTAATTGCACTAACAGTTGGAAAATTAACCGTCGTCGTGAGCCGAATACATGGAGCTACCTGTAGATGCAAATGTAATGGATGCTGTAGGGGTCGTAAGATTCAGATTCAGATGGATTGGAACGATGGGAAACTCCCTTGAGCGTTCCTTCTTGAGCGGATCGTGGGGCCAGGAAATGTTGACGTGCTAAGAGGTTTTGATGGATTAAAACTTATCACCTGCAACACACCCTGGTCAAACGATTACTGCCCACATTCCCTGCACCAGAATTCCCCGCTGTGTAGGCCAGGTAAATTAAGCAAGCACTCGAGAGGAAATGGAAGGTAAAGGAGAAGGAAAGTCATTTAAATGAAGGATTACACCGAAGATTTTGGTGAAGGACAGAACATAAACTCAAAATTGCCAAATGGATATGGTCAGGAGAGAAATGTTTTTGTGTTCCCACGCAAGGGCATCTAACTGACGAACGAAACCTTTAACCGTAGGTTCCCTGACTACACTTTCTGGAAGCGCTTTCCAGCGCTCGCTAACCCTACGCGGCAAACGCGTTTCCGCCCTGATCCAGTCAGAACGCGGCTTGTGTTGCTTCACGGTATGACCGCAAAGACAAGGCAACGTAGCCGGGCTAAATCGGCAGCTCAATTCCGATCCAATCTTCCCTGTTAAAATGCGGTAAATAAGGATTAGGTCTCCTCGAAACCGTCGGTATTGAATTGAATACGTACCAAGGCTAAGTAGACGCTTGGGGTCCGATGGCCCACGTAACCCCAAGACCGATTTGTTACCTGTT